TTTAGACCAAGCAGCCCTTACACTTTTATGCTGCATACTTTGATATTAAAGAAACACGATTAGTTTTTTAAAATTATCAAATCTTTGATTACAAAATCCTTATCAAGCTACCTTATTGCACGAATCGATTAATGATACTTGAGCAAGGTGTTGCCCGGCCATTTAGCGTTCCCAATTAAAATCACTCGAACGGTGAAAATTCGCCTTGCAGGCGTCGATACGACAGAGCGACGTAGTCCCGTGAATTTTCACATACAAAGTACGTGTTCACGGGGATTTTAATTATTTCGGTTTACGGGACTGACGGAGGCGGGTCGACGGTTGTGTTCCCGTGTCTCGAAACGACCCAACACCGGGGATAATTAAATATGGATTATCCGGTGCGCGTACAGGTGCTCGCTCCTGCTAATTGGACCAGAAAGAAGACAGTTATCGCGCGACAACCGGGAAATATTTCGCGATAACGAAGCCGTGGAAATTGGGTGCAGGAAGCAAACGATCGATCTGACGATCTTCAATCTTTCCGTTATAATGGTTCCGTGCAACTGGCCGTTAAGCGTTACTGCTTCGTATACGAGGTGTGAAAGAGTATTTTAACGGGTTGAATATAAAATAGGATAAATCAATTCTGAACTGTTGAAGGGTGGTAATTGTGAAATAACAGCGAGTATTATATTGCAGATGGATTATTAGAGGTTTCGTAAAAAAAAGGAATTGGCACCTGTAACCTTTCTAGAGCAGAATCGTGCAATATTTGGATTGACCTGATATTTTCTGTGATTTTTATAGATAAAATTTAAGAATTTAAAAAAGTGAGAATATTCGATAACAACGAGTATATTGCAGATTCGTTATTAAAGCTTTTGTAAAAAAGAAATTGACCGCTTCCCTTTTTAGAGAAGAACCGTGCAATATTTGGATTGACCTGATATTTTCTGCGATTTTTATAGATAACATTTGAATTTAAATATGAATATCGCAGATGAATTGTTAAAGGTTTCGTTGAAAGGAATTGATTTGCTCCCTTTCTAGAGCAGAATCACGGAATGAATATTTTCAGTGATTTTTATAGATAAAATTTGAGTCTTCAAGAAATTGGCAAAATTTTTATCTTTCACTGTTGCCTCCTGTGAATATGCATGGTAATAGCCAATTTCAAAGACTATTTAATTAAAAACAAAATATGTCCAATTAATCGTAAAATACCTGACACTCTAATGTAACAATAAAATCGTATTTCACAGGAGTCATTCCAACGCGAGAACACATTTTCGAAGAGCGGCGGTCCGTAACGAAAAAGGGTTAAATATATTTTCTCCTAAGTGTCCTCTTTTCTTTTTTTTTTTTCTTTCAACGAGTCCGCGCCGGGTTTCCTCGTTAAATCTTAAGACGCAACAAGTGTTGTCAGGATTACGTCTTGTGGCAAATAAACGAGATCACTGTGCCAGGATAATTCTTAATTAACTCGTTCGCGCAATGACATGTTGCTCGGCCTCGCGATTCTACAGGGATTGCCTTCTCGTACCGGATCGAGTGCATTCAACGTGCTCGATTGTTCGTCGCATTAATTGCGGTTTTATCCCGCAACGAGATCCTTTCTCCGATTTGTCCAACGGTGTGAATTTTAAAGCGTATTTCGACCTACTAGCGCGTACGCAATTTAATCTTAAACATTTATTTGTCTGCGTTGACGTGTAGCACGTAGTTTATACAACTTAATCA